TCCAGATATTTTGTTTGTGTTCATATTATTTTATAAAGAAAAGAATTATTATAAGTGTATCAATTATATAAAATTTATTAATGTTTTTTATTAGAAAATATTATATATTTAATAATTTAGTTCTTTTACTAGTATTTTCTCTCAATCGTTATTAAATTATAATCCATTCATTCATTATTAAATTATTATAATGCATCAAAAATGTGCAAAGAAAGAGAAAGAGAGATAACATTTTTGTATCTCTAATACCGATTAAACGTCATCTCTATCTCTCATTGTCAGCAAAATAAGCAGTTTAATTCCTATTTAATCTCATTTAAAAGATTCTTTTGTGCTTGATCTAACTTAAGATTGAGAAATTTAAGATGGAAATTTATATATTAAATATTATATATTATATATTAAATTTATATATTATATATTAAATAATATATATTAAATTTATATATTATTATATATTAAAATTATAAGAGTTCAAAAGAAGGTTATTATCTTTCAAATTTTTTCAAAATCCGACCCAGCAAGAGTTTCTCTCGAGTAGGCGTCGAAAACGCAATAACGGCAATAGCATCATACCCGCTAGTTAGACTCTCATAAAGTCACGATGTAAATCATCCGTGGAAACTCGCGAGGAGATGTTTGCCGATGGTCCACCTCCCGTCAACGCCCTCGCGTAAAAAGAGGCAGAGAGAGAAGAGCCGTGAATGAGCGAGGTTCTTTACACCTCGTTTAAGAGTTCGTCCTAAAGGAGCGGTGGGCGTGCTTCCTCATTGAAGACCTAGACCTCTGGACGCGAAGGGCACCTGCTCTTTCTAAGTATTGTGCTTTATTGAGACGCCAAACGATGGAAAACCTATTAACGTCAACGCGCTGATAGAGCCCAACGGCTTCCTTTGGCGGCACCGAGACTGTAAAACGGAAGTGCACTCACCTGTGCGTTGCTTGCAACGTGTGCACGCCATCTTGAATGCGGATAAGCTGCAAATTTTTATTTTATTTATATATTATTATATAATTTATTATATATTTATTATTATATTTATTATTTTTATTATTATATTTATTATTATTTCATAATATAATATATTTATTAATCTATTTATTAATAAATGTATATATATTTTATATAAATATAATTAATAATTGCAAAAATATAATAAAAATATAATTAATATTAATAAAAATCCATATAAGAGTAAAAAAATTAATTACTAAACTGATATATAGCGTCCATATATTTAAATTGTAAGGATGCAGGAAACTTTGTAAGGATTCCAACAATTGAAATAACATCAATTTTATTCGCATAAAGTACGAAGCTCTTTACATGAGTTAAATTTAAATTCGATATTAATATTAATGGAAAATTAATGATTTTCTAGAGGAGTAAAATTGAATGAATGATTACGCGAGGTTAAATTAATGGCATAGAGCTGGAGCGAGCTCCTGATTAAAAAAATATCCGATACGATCCTTGAATAGTTGCGCCCGCTGCGGCGCCGATTGTTACGTAAATGGGAGAAAACGAAAGTAATATTTAGCCATAGAGAGAAGCAAAAATGCCTCTCCCGTATATATATTCTTAGTCATCGTACTCATCGAACCGCGCTCGATGATGCAAGGCCCCCAAGTTACAACGCTCGCCTCATCCGGCTAGCGCTTTATCGATCATTTCGCCGCGCTATCGTTTTGCATTTTAATTGTTTGCTCAAGCCATTATCTCGGTCGAGCTCGACGTTAATTTCGCGTCCCATTTAATTAACGACGATTAATGTAATTATGTTATTATTATCGCGCGGCAAGAATTGCCTCGGATCGCACATTTCGCCGCCGACAGGCTTCACCCTCCGATGAAAAACTCGCCGTTATATGGAAATCGCGTCCGATATTCGTTCATTATCTCCGCCTGGTAATTAGGATCAATCGCGGCCGTGCATCGATTTAATCAACGATTACCTCGACTCGATCGTCTTTCCATCGCGCGCGAGAAGCGTAGAAATAAATCGTCGGGGGAAACCCCGACGGACAAACAATAATTATTAGAAACCGCGAATAGAAACATCGAAAGGCGTAGCCAATTTATTTCGCGCGCAGGGTATAATGCACAATTAATATACACACAATTATACAATTTCACGCCGTCATTATCGCGCATTAATCATCCGCGTAGTGGAATATTAATCAATCCTGGATGCAAGAATTTAATCTCCGCGATTGCACAAGTGACGGCGCTTGTTCAGGAATTCGAGCGATTGTTGGAATCCTCGCACTAAGAAAAAAATCTGGTTGCAATAATTAGAATTCTGGTAGATTCAACCAGTATGTCTGTTGGAAAATGGACGAACCAGAATTCTTGTAGGAATTACCAGGTGAATCTGATTAATTTCTTCCTGTTAAATTTACCAAATTTTCTGATTAATAATACTAAACTCGCCAGCACCAGGTCGTCTAAAATTTTTTCCATCTAATCTCAAAAATCTGTTTAATATTCTGAATTCCAACAAGATTATTGGATAAATTCAATCCAGGTTATTGAATAAATTATTTTAACTTCAGTTTGTTAGAAATTAAACTGCACTGAAAAAAAATCTGATTGCATTAATTAGAATTCTGGTAAATTCAACCAGTATGTCTGTTGGAAAATGGACGAATCAGAATTCTTGTAGGAATTATCAGGTGAATCTGATTTCTCCCTGTTAAATTTACCAAATTTTCTGATTAATAATACTAAACTCGCCAGCACCAAGTCGTCTAAAATTTTTTCCATCTAATCTCAAAAGTCTGTTTAACATTCTGAATCCCAACAAGATTATTGGATAAATTCAATCCAGGTTATTGAATAAATTATTTTAAGTTCAGTTTGTTAGAAATTAAACTGCACTGAGAAAAAAATCTGATTGCATTAATTAGAATTCTGGTAGATTCAACCAGTATGTCTGTTGGAAAATGGACGAATCAGAATTCTTGTAGGAATTGCCAGATGAATCTGATTAATTTCTTCCTGTTAAATTTACCAAATTTTCTGACTAATAATACTAAACTCGCCAGCACCAGATCGTCTAAAATTTTTTCCATCTAATCTCAAAAATCTGTTTAATATTCTGAATTCCAACAAGATTATTGGATAAATTCAATCCAGGTTATTGAATAAATTATTTTAACTTCAGTTTGTTAGAAATTAAACTGCACTGAGAAAAAAATCTGATTGCATTAATTAGAATTCTGGTAAATTCAACCAGTATGTCTGTTGGAAAATGGACGAATCAGAATTCTTGTAGGAATTATCAGGTGAATCTGATTTCTCCCTGTTAAATTTACCAAATTTTCTGATTAATAATACTAAACTCGCCAGCACCAAGTCGTCTAAAATTTTTTCCATCTAATCTCAAAAGTCTGTTTAACATTCTGAATCCCAACAAGATTATTGGATAAATTCAATCCAGGTTATTGAATAAATTATTTTAAATTCAGTTTGTTAGAAATTAAACTCATAAACAGTGATGCGAGAAGAGGATGCAGCTGAAACACACACAATCAGAGAGCTAGCGTCCTCTTTCTGGCACTCGTAAGAGAAAAAAATATACTTTGGATTTAACGTTAATAATAATTCTTTATATACATTTCATGACAAATATTGAATACGAGTTAATTAAAGTTCGGAAAAAAATAATGAACAGAAATTTATATAACGATATACATTAAAAAATATCTATTAAACGTTTCTAGTTATAAAAAATTGAGCCTTATCACGATAACTAGAAATTCTTGTTTGATTTAACCAAAATGCCTTCAATCATATACGTCTTGTTGGTACAATCAAATGAATTTTCTCAGTGCGACGATCGCGACAAATAGGTCCTTCGAGGGCCCCGAAGACGAAGAGGGCTCTGGAGCCGCCGATCCGGGGGTCCGAGCGCAAATTCATTAATACCGGGGGTCCGCTAGCAGTCTCCCCTTGCCCTCCCCCTCCCTCTCTTTACCTCCCTCACGAGGAACGAACAATACGTCGCCTAATAGAAATCAAATCGCCTCACCATTTATAACGGCCCACCTCGTGCCTCCCTTTTGTCTCGTCCGGACCCTCTCGCCCTCTCCCTCCCACGCCTCGCGTCGCTCGCCTTTTTTTTTCGCCCATCACGGAATAATCGAACAAGATTGATGAGGGCGGCGTGACTGGCTCGCCACGAGGCCTCGTAAGAATCACGCGCGTATCGTCCAAGACATTGGGGTGGCGGGAGAGGAGGGGGGAGGGGGCCCGTTATATCCGAGGATCGAACTCGGATCGTAGGAATCTCCTCGGAGGACTAATCTCGCCGCGATTGGTACCCGCGAGATCAAGTGTCACGTCGTTTATAGAGACGATTCACCGGCTGACGCCCGGAACATCGGCATTTTACGCTTGAATTGATTCTCGGATGGCTTTTTAAGGAGCCGCAAGAGTCACGCGAAAGAAAGAATCGACCGACTCGATATTCCATAAATAATTAGTAAGTGTCTGGTTCATTTTCAGCAAGAAATTTCATACTATTCTCCGACTTATGTCTCGTTGATTATCGCAATAAAAATTTGCTAAAGAAGCAATAATAATCGCACATGTTTGCAAGATGTAGATTTTGAAGCTTCTTCTATTTATTTTAAATTGGAATTTTTTGGGAAAAATCCTCACGTATCTGAAACGAAAAATTAGTGTTCAAAAAATTATATACATATTATAATTTAAACTCCAAAGATCTATAAAATAGAAGGGAATAAGTCTATAAAATAAAGAAGATTTTTTTTAACAAAATATATAAATTTATCTCACATATTTTGTATCGGTAACATATTTTAAAATATTAAATTGATTTAATGTAATAAATATTAAATTGATTTTTGAATTAAAAGCATCAATGATTGCCTCTCAGCGATGATGATGTCGATTCCATTTAAGAGAAATCTATCAATTTATATGCGATTTATAAAAACGAAAGATTTCGGACAGAGATTCGAGAGAGAAAATCGATGGGAGGATAATTTTTCCGAGAGCGAGCGATTTCCGGAGGGCATTTTATGGACGCTGCCCTCGCGGATTCGGAACGGGATGTAGCGGGAGCGAGAGGTTTTTATAGGGTGGATCCGGGAGGCTCGAGGATTGAAGGAGCTCGGGACCCCCGGCGCGAAACAACAAGCAGTCAGAAAAATGGATGGGCTGCTAACCGTGCCACCCATGGAGCCGGGGTTATTTCGCCTCTCGCTCGCGTAGGCCCTTTATGCGGCGAGCGCAAACGCGCTTTAATAAGCGGGATCCTTAATTACGTTTTCACCTGTGTCGTAGGAGGATAAACCATCGAAGCGTTCCCGTCGATCCCGAGGAGAGCGGGGTGCCTTCCAATTGGCTGAAAAAAGAAAAACACGACACGCTAGTCACTTTGGCCTCGTTAACGTTTCCTTTGCTTGCTTCTCTCTCTCTCTCTCTCTTTCTTTCTTGCTCTCGATATAAATATCTCTCACTTTCGAGATATGAAAAAAATGTTTCATGCAAAGGTTTTAATAAAAGGATATTTCTAGTTAATCGCATCAATAAAATTTTGACAAAATAATTAAGGAAAAGTTCTTTCAAAAATTTTGGAAAAAAATTATTCTATTAATCTAGTTAAAAGATACCCTGTAGAATTCTCCTTTGTATAAAATATCTTTTGAGATTTTGAGTGATTTTCAGATACATCGAGAAGAACAAAAAGCCACATATCATAAAGGTAGTTTTACCCCTTAGTCATTTATGGATCGAAAATTTTTAAATTTATCCCTTTGTATATAACATATATATAGAGTTTCTTTAAAATCAGGATTTTTCAGAATTCGCGAGATTTTCTTGTAAAATAAAATAAAGAAAATTGTGGAGAGTTAATACATAAAGAGAGCAAGGATCAAAAATGTGTCGCGCTATCGTTGCTTGCTTCTCTCTCTCTCTCTTTCTTTCTCTCTCTCTCTCTCTCTCTCTCTCTTTCTTTTTCTCTCGATATGAATATCTCTCACTTTCGAGATATGAAAAAAATGTTTCATGCAAAGGTTTTAATAAAAGGTTTTAATAAAAGGATATTTCTAGTTAATCGTATTAATAAAATTTTGACAAAATAATTAAGGAAAAGTTCTTTCAAAAATTTTGGAAAAAAATTATTCTATTAATCTAGTTAAAGATATCCTATAGAATTCTCCTTTGTATAAAATATCTTTTGAGATTTTGAATAATTTTTAGATACATCAAGAAGAGCAAAAAGCCACATATCATAAGGGTAGTTTTACCCCTTAGTCATTTATGGATCGAAAATTTTTAAATTTATCCCTTTGTATATAACATATATATAGAGTTTCTTTAAAATCAAGATTTTTCAGAATTCGCGAGATTTTCTTGTAAAATAAAATAAAGAAAATTGTGGAGAGTTAATACATAAAGAGAGCAAGGATCAAAAATGTGTCGCGCTATCGTTTTTGTTGGCGCGATAGGAGATCGCCAGCGTAATCCTCCGATAAATCTCGCGAAAAGGGGGACACGGTCGACTCGTCCGCCCTCCAATAAAGCGAGATCCTCGATTTTGTCCCCCGTAATGGGCCGCGGGAGACATTATGCGACGTCGCGTGGTAGCGCGTCGCGCGAGCGACCCTAAGACGCATCACTTCCACCATCGGTATCCGGGCATTTGTCCAGGCCGACGCGTCCAGGAACCGGACCCGCGGAAGGGAAACGCCGGCTCGGCGATTTAGTGCCCAGCGATCCTCCCGAGAAATCGCCGGAATCGCGCGTTAGGGCGACTCGCGTGTCCGCTCGTACATCTTTTTCGTTCGCTCCCTAATCATTTCCGGATCTCGCGTTCTGCTCTTGGGGAGGAGCAGATTGCGACGATACTTGCGAGAGATGCCTTTTTCAAGTAGAAAAATATTTCTTATATAAATAAAAGGTAATCATTTAAAAAAGTCATTCTGTTAAAACTGAATCATGTCAATAATTAAAGCAACTGATTTTATTAAGGATTTCATTGAAAAATCTGTAATATGTAAATAAATCAGTAACATTTGCAAGGTGGATTTTTGCAACTTTTTCTATTTATTTTAAATTGTTTTCTTTTGTAAAAGTTTTATACATTTAAATAAAACACTATAATTAGTATTAAAGAGTGCAGTCATTAATTCACTCACATTAAAAAAATAGTATAATTAGAATTAAAAATCTTAGAATTATACTCATATTACGTTTTTTACTCTAAAAATGTGATAAATTTATAAAATATAAATAAGACTCTTGATAAAAAATATAGATATTTTTAACAAAATATATTGCTATAATAAATTGCTGAATAAATTTATGTATAAATTGTTATTATATAATATAAAATAAAAACATTAAAAATAAAAATTTATATAATATAAAATATATAGCCATAAAATAATAATATAAAACACATGTTTTTAGGAATATCACAGATTGAGAGAACTACTATTAATAATTTTGAATCGATAACTTTTTATTCTGAGACCGCCAGTGATTATTTACTGCTTTCCAATGATAATGCGTTGATTCCATTTAAAAGAATATATCGAAAAATAAATTCAGATATCAATTTTTTGAATTTTTGAATTTTTGAATACGCGGTGACTAATCAATCGCGGTGTTTCGATTGCCGACATATTTTTTTCTACGATCACCCGCGCGCGAGGATGATCACGTAACACGGGACACCCCGACATTAATCACAAAGAGTCCGGAATCGTCGATAACGCGAATAAATTTAATAGATATCTGTTTTCATGCACGCAACACACATAAACACACGCACGCACACACACACACACGAATTTCCGCCGGTTGAAAGTAAATCAGCGATATTAACAGGCTCGTAAATCGTCGCTCGCGAGCGGAGCGTTTAAAAAAAAAATACAAGACAATTGTGCCATTATCTTTCCGAGTTAATCGAACGATTGAGTAATGCGTGAATAATTTTCTATTATAATCGTATGAGTCGTATACGTGTCCATCTCACTCGACGTTCTCATATCTCATTTCATTTCCCTCTCCTCTGGGTCTCTCGCATGAGATCAGCGATGGGTAAAAGTTGGCGTCGCTCGCCGATCGCGCGTGTCGATAAAATAAAACATTACGATCATCAGAAATGATTCGTGAAATTCGCAAAGTGACTAAAGAAATGACAAAGAAAACAGTAAGAACAGAGAAGGAGATAGAAAAAAATGTGTCAAAAATTTCTCCAAGACGTTTGCGCGAGAATCAATCTTATCACAGACATTATTCTGGTTCTTTCCGACGTGGATTTTATTGCGACCTTGGTGGGATTCACAAAGAAATACCAAGAGAACAATTGAAAAAAATAGTCGTTATTAATAGCATTCGTCCACTGAGAAAAAAATCTGGCTGCATTAATTAGAATTCTGGTAGATTCAATCAGTATGTCTGTTGAAAAATGGACGAAGAATTCTTGTGGGAATTACCAGATGAATCTGATTAATTTCTTCCTGTTAAATTTACCAAATTTTCTGGTTAATAATACTAAACCCGCCAGCACCAAATCGTCTAAAATTTGTTCCATCTAATCTCAAAAGTCTGTTTAATATTCTGAATTCCAACAAGATAATTGGATAAATTCAATCCAGATTATTGAATAAATTATTTTAAGTTCAGTTTGTTAGAAATTAAACTGCACTGAGAAAAAAATCTGATTGCATTAATTAGAATTCTGCTAGATTCAACCAGTATGTCTGTTGAAAAGTAAATGAACCAGAATTCTTGTAGGAATTACCAGATGAATCTGATTAATTTCTTCCTGTTAAATTTACCAAATTTTCTGGTTAATAATGCTAAACTCGCCAGCACCAAGTCGTCTAAAATTTTTTCCATCTAATCTCAAAAGTCTGTTTAATATTCTGAATTCCAACAAGATTATTGGATAAATTCCAGGTTATTGAATAAATTATTTTTAAATTCAGTTTGTTAGAAATTAAACTGATAAACAGTGATGCGAGAAGAGGATGCAGCTCAAACACACACAATCAGAGAGCTAGCGTCTTCTTTCTGGCACTACTGCTCGTAAGAGAAAAAAAATATACTTTGGATTTAATGTTAATACTAGTTTTTTATATACATTTCATGGCAAATATTGAATACGAGTTAAGTTAAGAAGCAAGCAAAGAAATTAATGTAACAAGAAATTTTATAGATCCAATCAGAAAATACTAACCAAATCCTGATAGTAAAATCTATTAAACGTTCTAGTTATAAAAAATCGAGTCTATTCCATGATAACTAGAAATTCTTGTTTGATTAAAATGCCTTCAATCATATACATCTTGTTGGTACAATCAAACGATTTTTTTCAGTGTCATCAATTCGTTTGACGAGGATTCACGAATGATGACATAATTTGTGGAAAAGATCCTTCTCGTGCGTTTCCTTCCCGCCAATCGTGTCGACAGGATCCAACATCTCTCTAAAAAAAGTCCCGAGGAAAGATCGAATGGGGCTGAATCCTCCTCCTCTTCCCCTTCTCGCGAGTTCGCGTTTTCGATCGCTTCCAGACAAGCTGAGAAGCAACGCCAGCCGTAAGTTTCCAAGGTAATTCGCGTGTATATATATCGGCGTACTTGACCCCACGGCTATTAATCTCGCGTGCCATCACCCCCTTCGATCCGCGGGGGCGTTTCCAAACTAATATACGACGACACGACCCACGCCTCTATCGGCGAGAGCCTAACGAGGACTGACTTTAACGGTTAAATAATATTACTTTGAGAGCTCTTTCTCTCCCTCTCGATGGAGAAGGTCCCTTTGGCCTTTATCGACTCGGGCCGATGAGGAATTTAGGTCCTTTCAAAAAGATCTGAGGGCAAAATGAGATATCAAAAGTAAAGGATAAAAAGTAGAGAAGGAGAATCGTTATAATTTTTGCCCTCTCTATTTTAAGGAGGACATGTTTAAAAATTGGGAGAGGAAAGGAAATGTATTTTTCATTCCGTTAATAGAAAAACTCGACGAGCTTGACCCTCGTAAACGAGCAGTTGGTCCAAATCCCTTTCAAAGTCGGCCAAGAGCGGAATGGTGAATTTTGTCGCCGATCGGCCGATCCATTGATCCCTGGGAAAAGCTGCGGCCAGCGAGCGGAAAATCGTTTTCTCGGACGACACGAGGGGCGAATCTCCCCCCTGAACATTAGGGGGATACTTTCCAATCTTCGAGCCTCGCCAATCTCGTATCCGCGATCTCCTTAATGCTCGCATTAGGTACAGGGCAGCGATCGGTGAACCGGATCGCGTGCCCAAGTCGCTTATGTACGAGGTCGTGTCGAAAAAAATAATTACGTTGGATGATTGGAGATGAAGGTAAAAAAAAAGA